GCTAAAGTCCGGGGTTGAGCTGGGCTCCTCTTCCTCCTCTTCTCTGCCGGGGCCCCTCTTCCCCAGAATGGTCAGAGGAGGAGCTGCTAGATTGAAAAGGTTTCAAGTTTACACACTGACCAACAGGTGGGTGAGCACTGAGAGGCATTCGTACCGTTTCAAATGATAACAAAGCGTGTCAGGGAGCTGAGCAGGTCTGGATTCCACTCCAATATCAGATAAAACTCCCAAACTTGAATGATTTCATTTTCCAACCTATTTTCCTAAATGCACAAATCCGTTATTAGCTGAATACTGATCCAACAGATAATTTTGGACCTATGGACTGCTGTCCAGACTTGCCATGTGTGCAGACCAGTGATGTCACTGCCCATGTTGGGCTCTAGTTACTCACTTAAGCGTTTTATGCTATAAAATAATCTGTCAATGACCGATTGTTTTATTCCTTTTAGAACTACACTGTAACAAATTGCCCTGTATTTTTACAGTATAATGCTGGCAGCAGGGTTTCCAGCATTATACTGTAAAAATACAGTACCCTTACTGTAATCAACTTTACAGTATATTACTGTTACAAAAGAAATATTTTGATTACAGCACATTGCTGTTTTTATCAAATTTACAGTAAACTATTGGCAGCTGTGTTGCCAGTATATTACAGTTTTTCTATGGTATCGTTACTGTTGAATTCACATACAGCTTACTACTGTAAATTTCCAATACAAAATAGAAACATAAAAAAAACACTTAGAAAATGTCAGTTCCATCATGTCAACCAACATTTATTTGGGAAAAAAAAGAACCAACTCAAACATTGACTCATACACAGTCTTTAGTGGGCCACATAATAAAGAAGAAGGTTTTGAAACGACAACGTATGTGTGCCTTAAACCTAAACCTTTTCTACAAGTATGTTGAGGGTAAACTGTCCAAAGTAAGTCGTATTCTGGAAAAACAGCAAGAAAATCACCATCTATTTTGTAAAATAAATTTCTTAATAACTGATTTAAAGAGTTTTTTAATAAAGCATGAATTATTCAATTCATGCTTTATTTTGATTAGTCTGAAATAAAATAATTATGAAAGAAATAATGCATTGTACAACTCATCACACTACTTTTTCAATACAAAATACTACTTTTAGTGGAAGTGAGGAACAATATGATGCAACATAAAACAAATGAAACATTTAACTTTCAATCTAAAGCATAGAAAAAAATGGCAAATTTTAGTTTGATAAAAATTTTAATGAAACATTTAGACTTGAATTTTCTTTAGGGCAAAATCAGAGCTCCAACTTCAAATGATAAAACAATGAAACAATATTTGACAACACACTGCCAAGATAAGTTAAACATTGTGCTTGTATGGTCAGAATTACATAATTACATCTGAAGAACAGAAAGTGGGAGCCTTAACAAAATTTATGCTATAAATTAAAAGAGATGTCTAAGATTATACTGACCTTTAAACCAAAAAAAATCTCTCAAGAACACTCCTGTTCAGGGATAAGTTGCCTTCATGCCTGTATGGTTTTTGTTTTGTTTGTTTGTTTTTGCATGGAGGGGCAACAATATTTATAGCCTGGTTAGGAAGTTCTCACTAACCTATATGAAATTCCACTCGAAGTCCATGAGGTTTTTTAGCAGAGTTGAAACACGGGGGTTGACAGTGACCGACTTCTTTTGAACAGTTTTTCCTGTCCTCTTGGAGACGATCTTTCTTGCCACAGCTGGCCTTGGTCCCTCTTTCAGGGTTGATATCAAGAAAGCGCCTGAAAATGCAGTCATTTCAGATTAGCATATGATGCTTAAGGAGTTAGGGTTTAAGGTGTGTTAGGTGGGAAAAGGGGGGGACGGACAGGCGGACACAAACCTTACTTCTGGATGAATTCAAGTGTACAAGCAGCCTCTTCTTGATATTGTAGATTAAAGATGTAGTACATTGAAAACAGTGCAGCAAGCCCTGTCACAAAGGTTGGTTGAATGCCCTCACATACAATATGGCTCTCAAGACTGATCACCCACTGCGCAGCAGTCACACGGTCTTTTCCACCTGAAAAATAAAATTAAAAAAATTATAACAAGTATTGTGACTTCTACAAATTACCTGTACCATTATTTGTAAAACAACATTCATTTAAAGATATTGTGTTTCATGCAATACAAATAAATCAAAACCTTGTCTCATCTGCATGTTATTGTATCGTATTGTCGTGAAAATCTTAAACCACAATGAGTTTTGTTTTACTTTGCAAGGTTATGGCCATCTTTATCCATTCTCCAGTTAGGTCATCTTTCTTAAGATTTCTACTGACAACCTAAGAACATATGAGCTAAATCTAAAAAAAAAAAAAGAACTTTCTACAGGCAAAGTTGATATTGACCTAACCATAAGTGATCTCTGTTGCCACTTAGCTTATCGTGAACTCTTGGGAAAACTAGATACAAATTTGTAGGTTATCTTTGACAGCTGTTTTGTGATCAACTTCCCTTGATTATTTTATTTATTTATTTATTTTTCTATGGAATTCATTTTAAACAAAATTTTAATTTTTCCATCTGTCAAATTCTTTGATCTTTGGCTTTTTGAATGGAATTATAATAGAATGCATGTTATGCTTGACCCCCCAAAAAACCCCAAATAATCAACCAGAAGCTTTTTTGTGTGTTTTGTAGACAATTGTACACTGGTTACACTAAATACTCACTTTGGGCTGCAGAACACATTTTTTCAAAAAAATTCTTTGAGGTATGGTGACCTGTTTTCTGTCATGTCTGGTTGTATTATAATTCAAAGACTGAAAAATAAATATAGTCACTGAAAAACAAATATAGTCATGTCAGTTAACAGTGTACTCACAGAGTAGTATCAGGCGTGGTGTTAAAGGCAGGTTGAAGGTCTTCTCAACATCAGTCACTGTGGCAGATGACTGTAAAGAACAAAGACATTTCAGTAAGAACATTAGTTCCTCAGGATGAATTCAGATGTCAACAATTCAGTGAAATATATCAGAATAAATATTATGAAAATAAATTAACAAAACTAACATCTGTGGAAAGGATGAGGCCATCTGTGCTCTCTTTGAAATGGGCCATCAGTAGCTGGACAACATGAAGTGCCACCTCAGTATCTTCATCCGGAGAAAAAGTCGCTTTGTTTGTGGATTTGCTTTGGAAGTATTCTATGATTGCTCTCCCACATTCTTCCATGGAAAGCTCAAGGAGACGCAAAACATTAAGGTCTGTTAGAAGCTGAAAATGAGCATAGATGCTCCTCTGATGGAAGAGGTATGGCCAGTCACGTCTGAGATCCTCAATGGCAGGAGCTGGAATTCTGTTAATATGGCGACGTTGTAGACAGAATGTGATCTCCATAAGACTACTGACCTCTGCTCTTTCAATGCCACGTGCACCTTCCTGTCTATATATCTCCTCCAACCTTTGGCGTTTTTGTTCAATAGTGTCATCAGTCTCTTCCGGTGGAAGTTCTGGCTGAAATCTGGTGCATCCATATGAGTCAGTGGGCCCCCTCTTGCAGCCAGAGCTCGACCCACAGATGTAGCATGGAAACATTTTTAGATAAAAAATTAAAACACAGGATTATCAACAATGACAAAAATCACTTTGTCTGTCACACACTTTACAGTTGTTCTGGTTTAACATCAACTTTATGGAAGGTACTGAAAATGTTTGTGAAATATTTTCTGCTGCTTCAACAGACTACACTTTCTGCAAAATACACACAAAAGGTACACTTTGGGGATGTAAGTGAAGACAAACTTTTGAATGTTAAGAGTTAAATACAATAAAGAGACACCAGCATAACATGTAAACAGTTTTCTGCCAAGTCAACTTTGTGAAACTCCAAATTCCCAGTTGATTTCCATTCACCAATTTCACTTTAGCAGCTAATCATAGCAATTCAAGTCAAATTGCACAAAAGAAAGAAAAAGAGCTTCCAAACATGTCAATATTTGTAAATATGAATCATCAAAAAATAACTAAGTAACAATGAAAACGGATTACTTTAATTATTTACCTTCTTATCTACAAGATATATCAAAAAAATATTATGCTAGCTTCCTTATTACAGCATGACAGATTAACTAAGCTAACTTTCAAACAGCTACAGTCTGCTTAAAAATGACAACTGTATGATAACATCATCTGACAAATAAATTCTGCTCCAACTTACCGGATTGGCTCATAAAATGCAGGATTCAAATGGATTGTCCTTGTAAAGAAAATTCTAGAGGTTGCTTCCACATGTCACAACGACGTGTCTTCTTGAGAAATACAGTAGCGTTCTGTTAAAGAGAGTCTCCTTGCCGTTGAATCTAACATCATTCCCAAAATGCAATGCTACTCACAGTATATTACAGTATTTTATTAAAAACAGTAATAATTGCCCAGAATGCATTGTTTTTCACGGTGCAGTACCGTTTTCAATAGAAACAGTATGATACTGTTCAGTTTTGGCCGTTTTTATACAGCAATTTGTTACAGTGTACACATGAATGAATTGACTTGGCCCAATTACCACATTAATTGAGTAAATGTAACTGAAAAACTATGTTAAGCGTATGGAAAACCTGAGTAGAAATCACTAATCAAATTGAGTAAATATAATTAAAAACATTTGTAGAAGATAACTGCAAATTACTTATGATTTACTTTAAAAATGTTTTGTACCGACTGATTTTTTAAAATCCTAATTTTTGAGGATATTCAGTACTATAAACCAATATGAACAAGAGCTCACACAACATGAAAGCTTTATTCTAAAACATTTTCCCACAGAAATTTACATTTCTAATATCTGCACATACTAGCAGCAACATCATTTGTTGTTTGTTGCAAGTAATTCCCAAAAAGTGCATTCAAATACTCCAAATACTTCTCCACAGGAACTGGAGCTGTGTCACAACAACAGAGGTTTGTGTTTTCTTTCCATCTCAACAGTCACCAACTAACATAACCCTCAACAACATGCCCACTTGTCTTAACAGTGTATGTGGACACAACCTACAGCATTCAAAGCTGTTACAGGACCAGAGCAGCCGCCTGTTTTTCTTCATCTAAGCATGGATGCCCACAGCGTCCCCTGTGAGTGTCTCTGTCTCTGGAAACCGTAGGCAGCTCCAAAAAGAACCTTAATGTGCAGAGTGGCTCTTCCAGAAGGAGACGGGCACGTCCTGCTCTTTCAGGCCACAGGGGACGTGGTCAGGGACGAGGAGGTCCGCTTTGACCACGCTGTGAAGAGGAGGTCTTTCCGTGGGGAGGAAGAGGAGCTGCTGGACGTCTGACAGCTGACCCTGACAGACTCTGTTATCATGTATCATACTGTACAGCTCCTTACTGGAACCAGTTTGTGGAAATAAAGAGCCAGTGAAAGGCCTTAATCCAGTCTAGAGAGTCAACAAAATAGCAAAATCATTAAACGAATGTGAAAATAAAATTACAATATTGGTGTTATTTTTCTTTAGACAAAACTGACTTTCAAAATAAATTACCTCTCTTTTCTTCAGGTGAAGACTGACTATGATTTTTCTCCAGGAAAGAATAACCTAATTACCTACCTATTAACCTTAGAAAACATACCTATTGAATTTAAAATAAAACAATTAAGTTATTAAATGTTAAATTGTTTTTAAAAAATCTTAATTTATTTTGAATTGGTAAAATAGTGAATAGCTGAAATTCTTTTATTGGGCCGAAATATTTTCTGGGGGCCAGAATAAAGTAATACTGTAATTTGTTGTGAGTGTTGGTTTTGTTCTTTGAGCAAGGTGATGTTCATGTACGGCTCATTTTGTTCACCAGTAAAAAAAATGTATACCTATTTGTTATGACAAAGAATTATATAATATATATTTATAATATAAAAAATGATTAATCAAAATCAATTGGATGTAAATATTTGTGCTCTTTATTGAGAAAACCCTCAGGTCACATCTACGTTTCAGGATGTGGTTATTATGGACACAGGTTACATGTTAAATGTTAATATTTATATTACAGTAACAGTGTTACAGGCTTTAGTAGCTGAAAACACTCAACATTAAAGTACAGACGCTGGTCTGGTGCTTCCTTATATCCTAAACATCAGGAGGAAACATTTATAAGCATCACTTTAAAAGTTACAGAGGTTTTTTTGGTTCCTAATTGTTCCCCGGATATATTAGTGTGTGTGTGAATGGGGAATAAGATGCCACATCCAAGATGGCGGACGGAAAGACAATGAGGATCTACTATGTCATCTCCTCGTTAGTATAGTGGTGAGTATCCCCGCCTGTCACGCGGGAGACCGGGGTTCGATTCCCCGACGGGGAGATTCAAATATCTTTTTTTCCATTTACTTATTTTTAATATGAACTTCGGGTTCAGTGATTTAAAAAACGATAAAATTGATTTTGGGTTGGAAGTTTGAAGATGACGTGGGCCTATTGCACATCCGCTTCAAAAACAGCATTCCTCTGATTCCTCTGAACTCATGATGTTAGCCTTCATAGAAACTGTGTATATGATGTTTCGGATTTTCTTAAAACTTCAGCACTTTTAATCATTATCTCATGGTAAGTCCATTTCTGACCACAGTGTTACATTCATCAAGTTACTGGTTGATGTCAGTCTTTGATGTGTTCATTCACCATGACATCACACTCTGAGTCTCCAAATGTTATACTGATGTAAAACAATGACATGGTAGCAGCAAACAATCAAGGAGCGGATTTAAACTCAGTGTGAAGTGCTTTAATGAAGTGGGAGTGTTGAAGACAGTGGTTTGACTATGGGTGCTGACAAAGTACAATGTTCCATCTACTGTCTGCTGGTACTTCCTGTTTGGTTCTGGGATCCCACACAGCTGAGGTCTGGTTCATGAAGCAGGTTTAATGAAAACTCTGAGTTTGTCTACTCTTAAAAAAAAAAAAATTATTCATGTTTTAGTCACGCGACTAGGTCAAGTACAAACAATGAAAATAAGGTTTTTTCTTTTCTTTTTAAAAAACAACAACCACTCATTCCCTCCCTTCCCCAGCCCTCCCCAATCCTACAAGATTATGTTACAGATCAGTAATAACCCACATCCTTCCTTCTTACCGTACACAACATGTGAATAAAAAAAAAGTATATAGACAATTAAAAAAGAGAGTAGTAAGAATAACATAAATAAATACATAGAAAACACCACAAAATAAAACTGAGGTAAAATTATTCAATGGTTTGAGATGAAGTAAGGAGGAAAAGAGAAAGTAATCAAAAAGATTACAAAATAACGTTGGCACGACGGTGTGGTGGTCAGAAGTGTCGCCTCACAGCAAGAGGGTTCCCAGTCTGAGTCCCCAACAACTTTCCTAACAGCTGAGTGTTTCACACAGGTAACAGAAAGTCACACCAACTGGTTCATGACTGGATTTGGACCTGGTCAATGTTATGTCTCATTTATCCAGCTGTCAGTGAAGTACACCTACACTGCTGGCCTGAAACACACATGCAGAGATACTGGCCATGACAAGGACATTCTGCACAGAGAAAACAGTCAAATCAGAGAGAAGATGCTAGTAATTGGTGAAATAATCACATTTTACTCTGACACTCTCATTAGGAGGTTTTTAGTTCTATGTGGCATTTACTTGTTTTAATCAAAGCCCATGGATAGATGCAAATGTCCCCCTCTGGCTGTCTGCAGAGCTACCTGTGCACAGGTGAAAGTTTACCTGGAATGT